AACTCCCTGCTCTCCATGTGTCAGTATATAATGCCTGCATCTGTAACTTTCACTCTATGCATCCGAAGAAGTGAGGTTTTTACTCACGAAAGCTTATGCCCAAATAAATCTGTTAGTCTTTAAGGTGCCACCAGACTCCTTGTTGTTTTTGTAGATACAGACTAACACGGCTACCCCCTGATAAATAAGAAAGGGTATGTATTTATGAATTAAATACAGATTAAATGAAATAAAGTTTTAAAGACGATAAATAATTAATTCAAGGGTCTGACTGCACCCGTTCTATCTACCTGTATAGTTAGATCACATTAATCCAGAAGTGAAAGTAAGCCGGTATGGCGTACTGGTAAGAGCCAGTACACAGCTGACCGTACCGGCAGGGGGCAGCTTCCCCAGGGCCCGTCAATTTAAAACGGCCCATGGCTCCCGGCGGCGATTTAAAAGGTCCGGGACTGCAGCCCTTTAAATCACTGCTGGAGCCCTTGAGTAGGTCTGGCGGTGGCAGCTGGAAGCCCCAAGCCCTTTAAATTGCCACCGGGCTGTGCTGAAGGGCTGGCTGGGTGAGTCTGGCCCCAGCCTTGCCCCTTCTGCCCGAGGCCCTCCCATTCCGGTTGAGCCACCCCACCTACCTTGCTCAGGACCTTGGCCACCCTGTGTACTCGTAAGTCCCTTAAGTCACTTTCACCCCTCCATCATCACTGTAGTTTCTGAGGCCATAGGTGCCAACTTCCTCAGTTCTCGGCGGGTGCTTGACCCCCGCTCTGCCCCAGGACCCACTCCCACTCCACCCCTTCCCCCAAGCCCCCACCTCACTGCTCTGCCTCTCTCCCGCCTCCCCTCCCCGACTCTTCCTGTCCCCACTCCTCCCCCACCACAGCACCTCCCGCATGCTGCTGAACAGTTGATCATGGTGGGGGGAGCCGCTGGGAGTGAGGTAGAGGAGTTGATCAGCAGGGCTGCTTGCTGGTGCTGACCACCCACTATTTTTTTTTCCACGGGTGTTCCAGCCCCAGAGAACCCGTGGAGTCAGTGCCTATGTCTATGGCCATTATGGACACAGGGGACATTTATAAAAAATTTTCACCAGCTTTATCACCACTTTAGCTGAACGGGTGTACATATAAGTATAGATAAGCTTCTGGTATTTTTACCACCATGTTAGTTAAACCTGATGAAAGCACAGTGATAAAAACAGGCTTGGGCCCAGTACCATGATTCCCTCCAGTTCAGCCGAACCTGTGTTTAAATTGGTTGGAATAATTCTATAAATTTCCCCATGGTGGACGATACCAGAATTTCTTATAATTTCTAAAGGCTATACAACCCAAGAATCTCCGATTGTTCCCTACAGTGTTTTATTCGTAGGAGTGTTCTCTTTTCAACATAGGTCAAAGAAATTGTCTTTACATTTCTGTTTTGCAGTGTTCACTGCTACTGTTACGTCCTGACCAGGTTTACCATAACTGATAACAGAAATAGTTACATGTAATTTGATTATTTGTAAGTAACTGATCAAAATAATAGGTTTCTTTTTAAAAGTGTTATCTTGAGAAAAAATCTCTTTCTTTAAGCTCAAAAATACAGTGCCTTTCAGTTAATTGCAATCCTGTCTTTATGGTCCCTAGTAGAAGTGATGATGCAGTGGTCAGCTCTCAGGGGTATAACATAGCCTCTTTTTTACTGAGATTGTGGTCTTTGCTTGGACAAGGTAGTTTCGCAAGCCCTGACTGTGGCCAAAATAATTTTCAGAGTCTGAGAAATGCCATTTCAGCATGAGACAATGACAATTTGACACCGAGGCACACACTGCCTTGGGTCACATCACACAAGTGTCTCTGAAGTGCAGAGGGCATCCCAAACTCATCAGACCCTACAGAAGCTGACAACACCGGGTTAGTGTTTGGTGCTACCTGCTTTATACGTGCTCAGGCTCTTTCCCTGTGAGCAGAGGCCCTGAGAAGCAGGAGGCTCTGGTGGGATACTTACAAAGGCATCGCACATCACCATCACCACGTTGCGCGCCCTCTGGCTGCTGCCAGCGCCGAGGTGTCCCCAGGCCACAGGACGCGCCTTCCCACCTTCCCAGCGGGTGGAAGCCAGCAGCAGCACCAGAGCCGCCAGCACCCCCGTCCGGGCCCCTTTTCCGCACAGCCCCCTCATCCTCTCCGCGCGCCCAGAGCCAGGTCCCCGGGCACACGGCCCCTCACACACCGGCAGGACGAGCAGCGCTCCCCGGTAGCCAGGCTGCAGCCATTGAGGGAGCGCTGGGCCTAGAGCCAGCCCACCCCAGCGCTTTGACACTGCCCGGCGACACGCCCGAGGCCTGAGAGCAAGACCCCGTGACACTCCCGCCCTCTCCCGCCATGAGCAGACCAAACTACAGCGCCCATCAGGCCTCGCGGAAGCGGGCCACGACAAACTACAGCTCCCGTCATACCTCGGAGGTCAGGCGGCGAGGGAGGTAGGGGGATGAACTACGACTCCCATCATGCCACAGGAGCTGGAGGACGGTAAGATGGCGGAGTGCTGAGTCGCCTCAATGGCCCTCACGCGGGAAGTGTAGTAACCGAGTCAGTGCGCCTGCGCGGCCGAGCCGGGGCGGTCGGGGTGCGGGGAGTTGGTGGCTGGTATTGAGGCAGGAGGCGGAGGCAGAGGCAGGTGAAGCGCTCAGTGGTAGGGGGGAGCGGGCGCAGAGGGTGGTGCCGCTGGCGGCCCCTGAGGGCCTTTGCTGGCCCCCTGTGGGCGGCTAGGCGGCTCTGCGAGGCTTGCGTGGGCCCAGCGCTCCCTAGCTGAGCCGGGGCGGTCGGGGTCCGTGGGTGGAGGGGGACCCTGTCCCCGGGGTGGGTGCGAGGGGGCTGGTGTGCGATGCCGAGTGGGAGGCCTGGGGCCCCCGTGGGAGGCAGCTGCAGGTGTGGAGTAACAGGGCAGTTCCGCTGGCTCCCGTGGCAGAGGAAAAGAAAGGTCCCAGCTCTGGGCAGGGAAGGCGAAATAGCCCAAAGAGCAGCGGCGGCGCTAGAGTTAGATCCACAAAGGGACGGGGGTAGTGTACATTGCAGAAACTCCCTGCAGCAGCATGGCCAGAGCTACCGCCGTGCTGCGCTGACGCCAGAGTGCTGAAATAGCAGTGAGGATATTCCTGCTTCTGCTCGGAGACCCTCCTGCTTACCGGCTTCCACTGCCCAATCAGGGATATATACACACTGCCATTTTTACCGCCGTAGCGTGGGCCCTGCAAGCCTGAATATGTACATCGGGTTCTGAGACTTGCTGCCACAGGAATGTCCCCCCTCCCTGCAGTGTAGACATACATACGCTTATACTCAGTGTTACAACACCAGATATTTAGGCACCCTGCTGCCTAGTGGGATCCTTAGCCCTGAGTTAGGTGCCCAGACTCCCTATACAATGCATGGGGTGAGTTAGGCTCCAAAGAAAGGGATTTACAAAAACCAGTATGCTGAGCAGGGAGCTGTCCAATCTGGCAGTAGGAAATGCCAAGGAGAAGCCTGGGGGCCTAACCCTCATCTCTCAGAGTGAGTTAGGTGCCTGACTCAAGGCCAGAGATAGAGGGCCTATCTCTACTTTAGCATCACAGATCTGAACTGGGATCCACTCCTGGAGTTAGGCACCTAAGCCAGGTCAGCCCTGTTTCATGAAAAAATGGACCTCCCCCCCCCCCCCCCACCCATATTATAGCCAGTAGCCTGGTGATCAGGATACTGAGCTGGGATGTGGGAGATCTGTTTTAAAATCTCTGCTCAGCAGCAGGGTTCACCCATATCCCAGGGAGTAACCTAACCACCAGACTATAGAGTCATTGTTTTTCCTCTCTTACTAGTCTGTGACTGTGCTACAGTTACAGGTGCTACTGTAATACACATAAATAATAATAGTAATATATGACTTCTATTCAATTTTTCATAGTGGACCCTTGCTCCCCAGTATAGTGTTTCTTTTTCTACTCATTCAGACCTAGATCCTTTTGCACTGGGGTATCCCCTTCCTGCCACACTCCCCATCCTGGCAATGATGATAACTGCATCTGAACCATGTACACTTTCTAAAGCATGTGTTAGAGTGAGTGTAAATAATGTGTGCATCAGACTGATGTATGTGTACAATATACTTAAATATACATGTATGTGCTCTAAGTGATACTATGTGTAATTTCAAAATGTATTAACTTTATTGTTTGTTTCCATTTTTTTTACTAAAACAAACTTGAATATTTCCTTCATTCCTGCACACATCCCTTCCAAACTTATGAAGTGCTCTTTCCCTCATTAGGGACTACTTAGGAAGTGGAATTTGAAATTGATCAATGATGTTGATAGAATGGTATGGCCAAAAAGTGTTGGGAAAATCTTTAAAATGTGAATGACAGAGAAACACGTAAACCTCCATATTACTGAACCTCCCTATTTAATGTGACCCAACTGTCAAGAAAAATTCTACTCTGGGGTGAGAAGTAGCTTTTAGTATTTCAGGGTGATGGCTCAGATCCAGCATAGCATTTAAGGATGTGTATAAATGTGAGTCCATGATTGGTCCCAATAACTTCAGTGGGATTACTCACATACTAAAAATGATGCATGTGCTTGGGATTGGGGTTTAGAGGTGTACTATCGCATATATGTTTATATGTGTGTGCCCTGCTTTTTTGTCAATACTGGATTGATAGTTATTTGGGGTAGGAATTTTGTCTTATACTTGTACAGCTGTGAACATACTGTTAATATTTGCTAAAATGTTTTCTCTGTGTATAGTAATGCAATATAAATCGAATGCTTTGAACAGTATTTGATATAAATGTCTTTTGTTGAAAACTAATTTTCTGTCCTTTTGACTTTAGCAGTAATAATGTCAAATAAGGAGGTGAAGGCAGCATTGAAAAGTGCCAGAGATGCAATAAGAAATAAAGAATACAAAGAAGCCTTAAAACATTGCAAGGTAATGAATTCTTCTACTTGTATAAAAATTAATTGTGTGTACAAGTAAAAAGCCCTACTATTTTCTGTCCACTGGAATTGTACTCTATACTTTATGCAGTAATGTACATACTAAGTAATCATACATCTTGGCAGTGTACACAGTGAATGATTTGCTGTGGGGTAATCACTAAAATCCTTGTGGATGGGTCCTTCTTCCTTTCTTCAATGAAGATGAAGTTCACAGAATCAGACAAATGCCACCCTTTCAATTCACACACTGGATCTTATTGCTATATGGTAGATACTGTGGTTTGGTGTAGTGTTGATTTCATTAGTTGCCCATGTTAGCTTGTCCAGAAAAGGAGATCAGTTTTCTGTAGCATGTGCTTAAATGCGAAGCAGAGGGTACAGTAACTCCTCACTTAAAGTCATCCCAGTTAACGTTGTCTCGTTGTTATGTTGCTGCTCTATTAGAGAACATGCTTGTTTAAAGTTGCACAATGTTCGGTTATAACACTCTCCACCCCCCCCAGCGCCTCCCGCCCACCTGCAGGCCCCATGGGTCAGCGCCTCCCACCTCCCTCTCCATGCCTCCCACCTGCCGCAATCAGCTGTTTCACAGCGTGCAGGAAGGCTGGGAGGGAGGAGGAAGGACATGGCACGCTTGAGGGAGGGAGTGGAACTGGGCGGGAAGAGGCGGGGTGGGAGTGGAGCCGGGGCAGGATGAGGCAGGGTGGAGCCTTGGGGGAAGGGGTGGAGTGGGGGCAGGACCTGGGGCAGAGCCGGGAGTTGAGAACCCCCCAGCAGTTTTAAAAGTCGGCACCTGTGGCCCCAGAAGCCCATGACTGTCTCCAGCTCTGCAGGGATGTAGAGGCCCAGTGCCTCTGCGTTGTGTGTCCTAAGCATACCATGCAACCTGGCAGATTGGTTCCCTTAGGAGACAACTGGTTTTCCCAGCACCCCAGTGGGTGGGAAGGTGTTCAGTGACTAACTGGAGCAGGCATTTGTGTGATCTGCTGCTCAGAGGCCAGCAGAGACATCCCCATCGGTTCTGGGGAAGGATGCAGCACAGTGTCTCTTCCTTTGTGCTGCCACTTGCCTGCTCTTCCTGGTTCCTGTGTTGAGCCCAAACCCACAGAGCTTGCATGGGGAGGATTCTGCAGGCCTAGGAGTGGGGATATTGTTGGCCCACACCCTCACTGGTGCTCTGGGGCCAGAGGATATTCACTTACCTAGTCACAGCCGTGAGTCAAACTGCACCAAACTGGCAAAAAGAAATTTACCAAGAAAAAAAAGGAAAGCAAAACAACAATCTCTAGATGTGTTTTTTTGAGTTGGGAATGTTCATCAAGAACAGCAAGAGGAGCAGCCAGACGATCCACCCTCTTCCGCCCTCTGACTCCACCACCTCAAACAAGCTTCACAATCATCATTGCTGAGTACAGTATTAAATTGTTTAAAACTTATACTGTATATGTATATAATATCTTTTGTTTGAAAAAGATTTACCTAACACCCTCCCCCCCCCATTTACATTAATTCTTATGGGGAAATTGGATTCGCTTAACATTGTTTCGCTTAAAGTCACATTTTTCAGGAACATAGCTACAACGTTAAGTGAGGAGTTACTGTATTAATTCTCAGATGACTGTGACAAAAATCTATCTTTAACCATAGACTTTAGAGGAATCCTTCAATGACCATAGTTACTGATACCTGTCACTAGGACCGTTCATATGCAGTTTTTTCTTGCTAGAGAAAGCTACCAGTTAGAAATTAACCTTTTTATTAATGTTCTAACTTATGTTATCACTGTGCAGAAAGTAACATCTTGTTAAATAGATACCTAATAAATAAAATTCACCGTGTACCAGACTAGTATGTTCAGGAACTTCTTTTCTAGAAAGTAAGAAAACTGATTAATCAAACTTGGTAGTTGAGTCTGTAAGACACATTTAGTACACTGGCTTCATTTGAACTCTTATATTTTTAGGCAGTGCTGAAACAAGAGAAAAATAACTACAATGCCTGGGTGTTTATTGGCCTGGCAGCTGCAGAGTTAGAGCAGCCTGATCAGGCCCAAAGTGCGTACAGAAAGGCTGCTGAACTTGAACCAGGCCAGCTACTGGCATGGCAGGTACGTATTCGACTCTAGTTCCACTTTACCCTTCCTAGTAAATGAACTACTGTGTTCTTAAGTATAGGAACAAGATCCAATCAACATTTGAC